AAAAAACATTTCCAAGGCTAACACCCAGACATATTTTTTTCCTTACAAATATCAAAGACCAAAATCTTTCCTCAATGCAACCTGTGACTTATGCGTCATGCAACCCATAAACCGAACTATAAAACAGCAAAGTCTGAATTCTAACAGGTGGAAAAGTCACAAGAAGAATTTAGACTTAGGCAGTCTGCAAAAACTACGTTTCAAAGCAATATCTGAACGATAAAAAAATTGCAGCATGAGTATACCACCAGCTAAATATTCATTCTTGTTTCCCACTGAACTTGCCTTTTCTGCCAAGCAGAGTAATGCAATGTGACCTACAAAGCATCACAGAGAACAGAAAGTGATAAGGTCTGCCCTGGCTTTTATACAGTGCCAGCATAAGAACAGAGAGGGTTTCTTAAGAGTTTTGTAAGAGTATAAAAGCACTATATTCAACAGAATTACTCCTGGCACATATCAGAAATACCTACCAGATACTTACAACTGCAAAACACTGCAAAGAACAGAAATGAAGTATCCTTTGCTACAGCTTTATCATCTACCAGTGCTTCCCCCACATTTTGAAAATCTGCCAGGAGCCAGTCCTGAGAGTCATATCTGTGTCATGAGGATTCATGTGTTTGCATATGCTCAGCAAATACAGATATCCTCTTTGGTACTCCAGTGTGCTCCTTTGGCCTGTTCCTGTTCTCTGATTATGAAAATAGCAAGGGACAACAGTAGCCCCGTTAGGTTTTGGCTAACATCAGAGAGGCTGTCCTGGCCAGCAAGAAGCATGTACCTCATTCTCCCAAACATATGTCAGCAATCAAGTGGAGCACTCAATTAGAGCTATTCAGTCCTCTCCCAGCTTTTCAACAAATAATTTTTCCTTTCCTTAAAGAATACCTACCCATGGAAAACACATGTTTAATGGGGATTTGAGACAGCATTTCCCTTATTAAAAAAAAATATTATTTTCATCTTTAGCTTGTATTCCTCTTTTTTTCCTCCTCCTTTATCTCTTGCCTCCAACAACTAATAAGTAAATTAGTCCCACCCTCCCCAATGTTTAGAAACTGAAAAGCCTTGAAAGAGTTTCATTAAAGAAAAGAAAACAAAAATCAGGGGAGGGGGGAAGGGGTATAGAGAATTAAAATCAAAATAACTTGTGGAACAGATCTTTTTCCAAAGTTTCCAAGCTCCAAGCACTGCCAGAGAGAGCAATACTTCCCAGGCTCAAATTAAACACCCCTGCCAGTGGTGACCCCCTCTCCTGCTCTGCCTGCCAGGGTGCAGCCAGCTCAGCCTTAGAGATCCTGACAGTGCTGGCAGGAGAAGCTGGCAGCTCAAAGCCCATGGAAAAGCCCATGGAGCTTGAACATTTTTTTTTTTTTTATGAAAACAATAATTCCACATAAAAGCAGAGACTTAGTAGAGGGATGTAACTGCATCCCTCTGCTCTCTGATTGAACAGACTGTACTTTTCAGCACATCTCTTAACTTTAGTATAGCCCAATAATATCAATAGTGTAACTGTGAGGGGTAATAATAAATTAATGGTATGAGTACAGCCTCATCAGTTTCTGTTTAAGCTCAGAGTTCCTGTCTGTTCAACTGCTTCTCACACAGAAGACATGAGAAAAGATAAGGAGAGAGGAGAAAAAAACAGCTGGGAAAAAACATCCAAATTTTCTCTGCCAACCTCATATCACAGCACACAGAGGCAGCTTTCCTACCAGCAGAGACATATAACTTTAATTCCTTGCACAGAAATATCATTAAAATAGATATATCCTAAATGAATACCACAGCTAGAATTTTACTCATGAATTCAGGAATACAGAGCTCACCTCCAGATTCCGCTGGGCTGATCAGAGGAATTGATAATTTTTCCAGCACCCCTCTTTTGAGAGATACTATTATTTCAAGCCTAACAAACCTGTCTTTCACCCTTCCCACTCTTACAGAGGAATAGATTTATCCCTAAAATAAAGCAGCACAGGAAAAAAAAAAAAAAAAACATTATCAAATGAGTTATTTCCAGTAGAGGAACACAGTTCTATGAATTCAAAAAAATCTCTCGAAAAAGCAAATGTTTATTTTATGTCTACCTTACTGTGGATCTTTGTCAGAAACCTTGTTACCCCTTGATAAGGTGAGGCTGAAGACTTTGGAGGGAACAAAATCTAAAAACTTACCTGTATCCTGGAGAGAAGAACCCAAGAAAGGCTAATAAGATCATTTCAGCTAAAGCAATAGACAGCAGAGAGTTGGAAAGGCAATGTTAGTGCATGCACACAAGTCATGTCAGTATTTTGCAGCAGAAAGAATAAAACTCATGATCCTCATGCTATACAGCTCAGATCCATTACATTCATTTGTGGGTGTGATGTTATTAATTAAGAGGAACAGAAGTGGTCAGGGAACAAATAATGAGACTAGAACCTACACAACCTACCAATGCATAAAAAATAATCTATGCCTGATTTATTCTCAACAACAAACTACATTTTAAAGATAACTGAAATGAGGCAAATCCTACCCTAAGAAAAAATGCAAAAAGAGCTTTTGTTTTTGTTGTTGGGTGCTTGCAATATAAGCCAAGGAAAGTGAAAGCTGTGACCAACTCTAGACAATAACCTCAAGTACAGGATACTGCCACATGCTGGAAGCATTCAAATAGCTGCTTTTTCATGAGGTGATCTGAAGTTCAGCCTCCCACCTCTCAAACCAAAGGCATCTGTCCTCTGGGGTAATTCCATCTCTGTTGATTATGTTCCATTTTACAAACCCTGCATGAATACCCAGAGATTAAAAAAAATAAAAATTAAATATTATCATTTAGAGAAGGCAATGGAATGATTGAGTACCTGGTTTCATCTTTTTTTTTTCAGTCCTCTGAGAGAAGACATATCAATAAAAGAATTCCAACTGCTTTCCACTGTGATCTAAACTCACTTGGATTTCATCCCACAAACATGGGAAACTAAGCTATCATTTCAGCAGTCCACACAAACCTAATCTTGAAAGATAGAGCTCCCTGAGATCTGTCTTGCCCTAACTCTACTCAGGCTAGTTCCCACACTGTCTTTAACCTTGCCATATTTTCTATCACTGCAATCCCCTTCCCAAAGAGTCAGATTAAAATACTTCCAGGCATGGGAAGAGCTGTCTCTCGTGTTAAGCAACCATGAGCTGCTTCAAGGCTTTAATCTAAAATTGGAAAGATACTGTAGGGAAAAATCTCACCTCTAGGAAAGGTAGGTATGTCAGACAGCTCTCAAACATACTGCTGAAAATTACTGTTGCATTCTATAATATTAAGATGTAAATTCACACAAGCCTGCTGGATTCCTCTGCTGTGGATCTACTATTCAAACTATCTGTTGATTAAGCTAGGAGGAAAACCATTATTTCTTCTTCATCTCTGTACACATGGAGAACATTAAGACAAATGTCACATTTCAACCCTTTCCTTAATCTCCACAGATCATAACCATAGGCAGAGAGCCTAATTTTCCTCCAGCACATGGGGGTTAAAAAAAAAAAATTGAAGGTGGTCACACTTAAGTTAATGGAATTGTACCCTTATAAAACTGGTTAAAATAAACTGAGCCCCGAATCAGATTTTCAATCTTAAACAGACTAGCAAAAACTCATGCAAATCACAGTCCATGGAATGTATGCAAGAGCTGCCTCATCAAACCAGGATGCTGTGTAGAGATAACATGACACTACAACCATGTACTTGGTTACAACAATATAGGCAGCACTGTAATTACAATAATGACCTCCCAGAGCTATTGTGTCTTTTAATTAAGCCTTTAAGAGTAGGCATTTGCCACTTAATCCTAACTCACTGTAACTACTGCAGCATATCATCTACATTTTCACAAAGAATTACTGTGTCATATTTCTGTCAAAAAGATGAAAGGGAATATTTTAGTTCAAGTGGCATTTACAGAATGAAACCGTATGAAATAAGTGGCCCATAGATGTCCTTTTAACAGCACTTCAGACCAAGTAAATGCTTCTGTTCCCTTTCTTTCTCCTACTACTCTGCATCTTCCCAGGGTAAACTGGGAGAGAGCAGGCAGGAGGGGCTACACAGAGCCAATATCACACCTGATTACATGGATGATAAAGCTGTGACAACAGATTTTAACCAGAATACAGCACACAGCAGCAATGCCACAAACTTACTGTTTTCCAGTTTCATTTAACTCTTTACCACTCATCACAACCAAAACAGCAAATAGTTCTTATTGGTGCCCACCAATTCTGTCTCTGCTTTCTCTGACTGGGAAAGCTTTCCTGAGATACCTTTTGATTCAAAAGTACTCTCAGCTAAAGTAATATACAATGCAAAGGAGTGTCCTAATGGTATTTTCAACACCATTAACAAATTGTTAGAGGTATTTTTTAATAATGGCTCCAATAATGAGGAATTCTTTCCAAAACCATGCATGTGAGTATGCAGAAGAGTTTCTGTCTGTTATCTGAATGGCACCACTGTTAACTCACACAGGGACACTGAGCAGCTCTGTCAGCCCTACTTGATTTTAACAGACTCAAAGGCACCGGTGATGAGAACAATTTTGTGCTTGTTTATTTGAGGGGTTCTTATTCTAACTGTGGAAACCCGACTCGGCCCAATTTCCACATCTTTTCAGTGTCTTCTTTGATATGAGTATTTTCATTCCACTATATTATTTGCTTCCATCAACTCAAATACCACATCCAAACAGGCTGATGAATGAGAAGAATTAAATCAAAAACTATGGAAGTAGTAGGGGAAGTTAAAAGTGATCATTAGCCCCTTTTGTGTTTCTGCATCATCACAAAATACTTTCAACACTGCCTTGCCATGGCACACCAGAAAAGAAACAAAACCAAGAGTTTTTTAAAGTTTTCTCCACACACAAGGCAGGGTCTTTTAATCAACAGTCAACATCAGTTTAAAACATGCACTCTGATCAATGTAGCCTTTCCAAAAGCACATGCCAGTATCTTACCAGATTTGGACATCTTCTGAGCCTTCTATTCTTTCTCCAAGGAAGTGTATTCAGTTACTTCCCTGGCTGGCCTGTAAAATACTGAAAACAGAACATTGTTTATATTAATATGCTACGTGAATGACATATTAACAAAACAAAAAAAAAATCTTTTTTATCTCCAGAAACATGAATTTCTCTTCTGCAAAATCCTATTTTGTTATTGTCTTTCAGACCTTTGTCATGCTTGTTCTACCCTTTTACAAGATCTTCCATGAGCCTGAAAAATACTCACTGTTCACATCACAGGATAGATGTCAACTGCTGCCTTAAGTTTCTTCTTTTCTCCTTTCCTACCCTTTGCTGGAGTGTTAAAATCGTATTACCTTCCCAAGCTGATCTCAACATTAATCCACAATGGATTACTAGAGCATGAGAGGAACTGATGCTGAGTGGCTCTTTTCTGCCACTTCAGGTGTAAGTAATACCGCTATATCAGGTACACAGAGGCAGCCTCTTAGCAAATTATAATCTCCTGCCCACACACATGCAAGCCTACTGAAGTAATCAAGGCTGACACTGACTGGTAAAAACTTGAACAAAATTACGTCACATTATAGCACCCAATGCTTGATTCATATTACAAACCAAATTTTTCACACACAAGTGGAAAGACTTGCTGATAAATGCCTGTTGCCATGGACAAACTACCTGTAGAAAAATAGGTGTTTGAATGGTTAAAGGTGTTTGAAATGGTTGACAAGCATGTGTGGTTCATTTCTGCCACTTCAAGAAGACCTACTGTATTGTGTATGCAAATGCAATATTTTCTCTTTGTAAGGAAGTAATTCAAGCTCTTTTAAGGCATTCAGAAGGGTCTACAAGATTGGCCTATAGACATCATTGGCTGGTGGGGCATCATTCAAAAATATTCACAGCTTCCTTCAAGCAATAACATAAACAAGATCTTTTATTTTGTGACTGGATCAAGGATAGGAAGGAAAATGACAATACCTCTTTAATTATTTGGCATCTAAACAAAGGAAAACAAAGATCAAAATAAAACTTCCAGTATTTCTGCTCAGTACAAGATTTTGTAGTACACTGAAACTGTTCAGTTTCATTTTTTGATTAATTCCTTCTTATGGGCAGATAATTTTAAAATTAAAACTCTTCAAAATATCCAAAAGCTCAAAAGAAAAACACTCTGCATTTTCTAAATGAGAGGCATTACTTCAGCATTTCAGAGTGCTTCTCTTTGTGTTCCTGCTTTTAAAGAATGACCCACCACCTCATGAGGATACAGCAACGTGATAGACACATCTCAAATTACTTCCCTAAGGTGAGAGAAAGGAGGCTCAGCCCTAATGAACCAGCCCTCTTGCCAACACTTTTGCATATCACCCCTTAACCAGACCCTTCTCTGTAGGCTTGATGTGAAAAGGTCACTGGCCTTTTATCTAGAGAAGATAGACCCTGCAAAGTCCAACCAGCTCTTCATTTCATCTGACACCAAAGCAACAACCTCTGCCTCAGTGCTACAAGGCAGGCACCTCCAAATGCCTGATCACACATCCCTCTGCTACAGCTTGACAGGCTTGCAGTGTGAAGGATGTGTTAGAGCTCATTCCATTTGGAAAAAGAACATCCTTGACTGATGAAATTGTATCTCTCTCTCTCTCTCTCTCGAAAATGTACTAAGCAATTGGAAGTTCTTCGTGACAATTAGAATCATATCCCAAAACTTGTCATGGATTTCAGCAAGCTTTGGATCAAGCACATGTATACCAAATGAGACTGTTCGGGTTTGATTTCTTGGAGGAATTTAGGTTGAGTCTGCAAAGGTTAAAATAGGTTCAGGCAGCATGACTGACATGCTCTCATACTTCCACACCTTCAGCAGCATGGATTTCCTTCCCCACACAGACAATTACACCTCTTTTTAGAACTTGTTTACCAAATAGAATAGTATTTTATTAATAGAATTCTCATTTCTATGCAGGATATATTTTTTTAATACCACTGGGCTGAATTGATCTTTCAGATACTATTTCTAATCAAGGTCTGAGACAGTTTATTTGAAAGTCATCCCTGAAGTGTAAAATGTGTATCTGTACAAAGATGTCTGAATCCTATTCTCTCATTGCAAATAACCTTATCACAACAAATAACCTTATATTCCCTAGAAACAGAAGGATTCAAATTTTGTTTTGTTTTTAAAGATCTTTTTCTTACTGTTTTGGGAAAAAACATCACCAGGAATTCAGTTGGTCAAACCTTTCTGACCACAGAAGCATCTAGCTCCTAAAGAAAAAAGGAAAGCAAAAGTCCAAACTAAGCATATTACTAGTAGCAAGAACTGACAGATTCATTCAGGCCCAAACTCAGCATTAAGTTCAAGGCATCATGAATGGGTAGGGAAGGTGGTGCATTTTTGCTGAGGAGAACACAAACCCTGTGCCTTGTGAAAGCTGTGCAGCTCACCAGTGAGAGCAGAAAAGCTGGGGAATGGTTCCCCCACCCCCAGCATTCAGTGGCACACGTTGTTATACACAGAACTGCTCTGGGTGTGCAGTGAGCTAACTGGAAAGCAGACAGAAGCAGGTACTGATAGCACACCAGAACATATTGTCACTGCTAGAGCCAATGCACCAGCACCGAAGCTGCCAATTATCCCCAAGTCACTGATACATTATTTTTTTAATCCCAGAGAACAATCTATTGCTGGAGGCTTTTTCACACCCATGACTGAAGTATCCCTGGTGGCATGTTGACTAATTAAGAGCAAAATCCATCTCTTGATGAAATAACACTGCCATTGAAAGAGATTTCTACAGTTAGGAAAAAAAAAATTGTTTAATCAGGCTAGGAGGAGCAGCATCCTAACACTTGCACTAAGCACAGGAAAGAGGTCTACAGCTAGCAATTAACAATGATGAAAAGGACAGTGATTTAAAGCATATTGCCATGACATTTTTATCAAAGTAAATGAGTTTGCTAGGCCCAGCGGCTGCATATGCTTATTGTCATTTAATGTTTGGATAGCAACACATCAGGCACCGGGTATCAGGAGGTGCCGAATTTAATAAGTCATTTTGACACTGGCGTGAAACGAACAAATCAGCATTCTGAGGAATGTGTTCACACTCTGAGCAGACAGGCAGACATCCTAAGCATGTGAGGTGACACCAATCAACAAAAAAAATGGGAGGTGGGAAAGAAAGGGAGTGAGAGATGAAAGCCAGGAGAAGAAACAGGCAGCGATACTCCGATGAAAAACTAGTTCTGTCCTGTCTGCTGGTTTGCCTGGTTGGTGTCAACAAGGCAAATTTCTTTTCACTAAGGCTGAGATACACTGCATATCTTCAATGGCATAAATCTCATGTATTATTTAAGCCCTACATGGATTATCTCAAATGAACTAAAATTAATGTCACGGAAATCTTTCAGGACTTTTCATTGCTTTAGTGGCAATGCAAAATTCCTGCCACGTGCACAGTTAATCAGAGCTTGTTTTTGAGCACAACAAGGCTGGCTCTGCACATGTACTTCGAGAGCCTCTCAGACACTTTCTCCCCGAAGCCCAGAGGAGTTGTGCCTGTGTGAGCAAGCTAAGGCTCTGGCTTTTCATGACTTTCAAAGCACTGGCAGCAGTTTTGATCCCAGCTCCTCTGCCCTCTGCAGATTGGCTGTTCTCTCTGTCCCTCGCCTTCCAGCCCTATTTATATTCTCTTTACCTCGGGGTTTGTCTGCAGTGCAGAGGTACCTGAGTTAGCTATAGAGCTCCCCAGCTCAGGTGCTGCTGTGGATGTGGTTGTGGTTGTGGTTGGATGTGGAGCTCAGCACAGACTAATTTACCCCCACTGTCCCTAATTCATTTAAAGCTATTTTAACTAGGTCTACCTGGCAGACTCGCTCCCCACCACCATGTCCCTGTCCTCACCTCTTCACTTCCAAATATTCAATATTTCACCACCAGTCTTTTCATTAGGTTTGTCTACTTCTAAATTAAGATTCAAAACCCAAAAGAATTGTTGGTACAAATTCAACAATCCATTTGCAATTTGAGATTTATCTCCAACTGTCTCTTAACAGGGCTAACAAATTTTCTTCTCAGTCAGTCCTGAATGCCTAAAAATGCACATAAAAAAAGTCTTGGAAGACAAATGTCATCTCCTTGTCTTGCAGAGCATCAGAACATTAATTAGGATATGATAAAACAACTATTATGATAAAGAAAAATGAGGCATTAAGGAATATAAACTAGAATAGGAGCGGCATTAAGGAGACGTGGTGGAAAGAGAAGAAAGGAGAGAGATGAAAGCATCCTGTTCATGTTCTGTTGATTTCCAATCCACATAAGTGAGAATAAATCTACTTTCTTCACATACACCATTTAGACTTACTCCCCTTCCCAATTTGGACTTGTGCTCTTCCCCATAAAAGACTAAAAATTTGAGTTGACTGTCAGGTAAATACTTCAACAAAGCAAGAAAGAAAAAATAATTACTGGAACCCAGTAATTCTATCAACCTGCATAATCCACATTTGATGAGGACAGGACAAAATTAAGGATAGTTGCTATTTTTCTGGGCTGATGGGAGGTCTCAAGAGAATAGTGTCAGGCTTGCAACATCAAGTAAAAAACAGGCTGAGATGATCTGCTTACTTGTTAGAGGAACTCCCCATCCCCAGACACTGCTGCACCTAATCCAGTCATGGATTACATTAAAAAGCTGGTGGTTATGCAGCTTTTATCCCTTCTCTCCCTCCCCAAAAAACAATGAAGAAAACAAACTAGCTTCAGCACTGAAGAAGAAGAAGAAGAAGAAGAAGAAGAAGAAGAAGAAGAAGAAGAAAAGAAGAAGAAGAAGAAGAAGAAGAAGAAGAAGAAGAAGAAGAAGAAGAAGAAGAAGATAAGCATTTGAGCCATGAGCCTCCTGCAGGAGATGGTGCTTTGTGCCCTGGGGAGATGGAGGGCACAGCACTTCCCACTTCAGCAGGGTCATGCTCACCAAATTACACACAAGTGGGGCAGAGCCTGCAAGTCATTTCACAGGCCTGAGGGTTTGGAATTCACTAGGCTCTCTCTGGCAGCACAT